ACTTATCGGCGGCAATATCCCCTGGCCCGTAAATGAGTCCGGCTTGACGAGTTTACTCCCAGAAGAGCCGACGTCTAACACTGCGATCTTGGTAGCTGGGCGGTGTAGTATTCCTGAAGTAGTTTTCACTTCCGCGCTGCGCACCTGTCCGTCTTTGGCTGTCACAATACGAATCACCTTACCTCTCGGCCAGCAATTCCTTGGCAAATTTTCGTCGACTATGACGACAATATCTCCAACACGTATCGGCGGTACCTTATTAAACCATTTGCTACGTCTAGAGATGATGGGTACGTACTCCTTAACCCATCTGTGCCAGAATCTGTCAGCGAACTTTTGGGTCTGGTACCAACGTTTTCTTAGGTCTAATTCGTCGGTACACACGGGTTTGAAGCCATCCGGCGAACCCAGCAGAAGGTGATTTGGCGTAATAGCATCGTCGTCGTCTGATTCGAGTGAAACGAAAGTTAAGGGGCGTGCATTTATGATGTATTCTACTTCGCATAAGCTACTTTTGAGGCTTTCGTCGTTGAAGTTTGCATACGGCATAATATTGTACAAAACAGATTTGACAGACCGCACGAGCCGTTCCCAAGCCCCTCCCATATGAGGCGCTGCTGGCGGAATGAACTTCCAGCTGATCTGGTCGAATGTTGACATAAGTAGTGAAAAATCTACCTCTTTCATCTCCGCGCATATGATCTTTTTCGCAGCTTTGAAATTCGTGCCGTTATCGGTGAAGATTTGTCGTGGGTAGCCACGGCGAGCTACAAAATTTCTGATCGACATAACGCAAGAACATGTATCCAGGCTGTGCGCAATTTCCATATGAATAGCGCGCAGTGTTAGACAGGTGAATAAAACACCCCACCGTTTTTCCCGCCTTCTCCCAACGTTCACCAAGAGTGGACCAAAGAAATCGATTCCGACGAAAGTAAAAGGCCTTTCGAAGGCTGCAAGCCTCGCACTTGGCAATACCGCCATTTGTGGCGCATTTGGTTTAGCGGTGTAATTTTTACACTGCTGACAAGATTTGCGGACCTTTCTGTACAAGACTCGTAGTCGAGGTATGTAATATTGTGCGCGTACTGTGTTAATGATAGCTTCGTGCATGTGGTGATGGAATTTTTCATGTATCGAGCGAACAATTAAAAATGTAACATGGTGTGAATTTGGTAGCACAATAACGTCCGCACGACTGTTAAGGTGCTCTGCGCGGCTTTTGCTCTTAATTACTCCGCTCTTGTCTAAATATACATTCAAAGAGCCAAGCTGGCTATGCTTACGCGGAGCTTTACCGAGACACAAGAGGTTTATTTCTTCGCGATATACGCTGTCCTGAGCATATTTTATTATGATTATTTGAGCTCGTTGAATCATTTGAAAATCGATGGCTTTATTAAACTTTTGCGTTTTAGTCGCTGCAAGCAGTTTATTCATATACAGCAAGAACGTCGCAACTGCTCTATATAAGCGCTTCCAATCCGAGAAATATTCTGTGTCCAGCGATAAACTTTTTTGAATTACCCTGTCTATTTGCAGCACGTAACGTTTTAGTTCGACTTGGTCGATTTCGTCGCCTTTGAACTCTTCGCAATGAGGCCACTCATTCGATTGAGATAGTAAAAACTGTGGACCAGAGAACCACATCTTGTAGTTAAGCCGAACTGAACTTTTCGTGGCTAAGTCGGCCGGGTTCTCTTTCGAAGGTACCCAATCCCATTGGGATACGTTTGTGGACTCTAAAATTTCTCCGACTCGATGCATAACATACGGTTTGAAGTTCTTCGGGTCCATTCGCAACCACCTTAGAACCGTCTTCGAGTCCGTCCAAAAATAGTGCTTTGTTATGGGTATGCGTTGAACATTAAGTACTGCACCTGCTAGTCTTACTCCTACGAGCGCGGCCTGAAGCTCTAGTCTAGGTATAGACAATGGCTTTAGAGGCGAGACCTTTGATTTCGCGGCAACGAGTGCAACGGAGATGCCATTAGTATGCTCAACACGCAAATAGCACACAGCTGAATATGCGTTTTCGCCAGCATCCACAAACATGTGAAGTTGAACCTCCTTCGCATGTTGTAAAAACTCTGAATAGCAGCGAGGAATTTTCGCTGTCTTTATAACTTCAATATTTGACTTCCAATGGCACCATTTTTCATATAAATCTATGCTTAGGGGTTCATCCCATCCAATATCAGATCGCCAAATATCTTGGAGAAGGATTTTAAGCCCTATAGTGAAGCAACTTATAAGTCCGAGCGGGTCAAAAATTGACATGAGTACTTGAAGTATCTCTCTTTTTGTCGGTACGATCGAGTTGTTTACGACATCTCGGCGTAATCGCATAAATCTGCAAATATATCTAAACGAATCGTTAGCTGAATCCCAGAACATACCTAATATTTTTGCCGCAGATCCCCATTCTTTCGGGCCTTGAATTTCTGCCGCATCTCCACGTAGTTGTTCGAGGACGAACTTGGAGTTGGAGGTCCAGCTATGTATGTTAAAACCGGCAGATGCATGAATTTGCTTAACTTGCAGAGCTAATTCTAAAGCTGCTTGCTCGCTGTTTTCACTATCTATAAAATCATCCACATAGTGATGTTTTTGGATCGCTTCTACCGCTCGTGGAAAATCTTCTTCAAAACAGCTCGCATTTTTATCGCGCACAAAATGCGCAATGTAAGGAGCGCAGCTCGTTCCGAACGTCAATGCTCGCATGACGTAAATGTTCGGTTGTTTTGATTCTTCATCGTTGTCCCACCATAAAAATCGCTGAGCATGTCGGTCGCTTTCTCTGACTTTGATACGGTGAAACATCTCGGAGATGTCACCGCATATGGCTACTTTACCTACTCTAAACGCCAACAATATCTCGAACAGTGAATTGAGCATATCTGGACCAGTAAGCAGGAAGTCGTTTAGCGATACCCCTTTGGCCTTCGCTGCAGCGTCCCAAACTAAACGTACCTTTCCCGGTTTATTTGGGTTCGTTACTACGAATATGGGAAGATACCATACTTTTTCCCTTTCCATGTGAAGTTCAGGTGTGCTTAGTTTTTCAGCATAACCTTTTGATACTAGATTGTTAATTTGCTGCTGAATTTCTGCTCTCAAATTTGGATCTCGAGCACACTTCCTCTTGAGACATATGGCTCGGTTAAGCGCGTTTGAGTAACTGTCTGGTAAAGATACATTTAGATCTCGCCATGGCAAACCAATCTCGTAAAAACCATCAACCTTGCGACATGTGGCATTCATTAAGTCTACGGCCGTTTGATCTTCTGCAGATAACAAATTTGATGCGTCCGGTGACTCCAATCTGAAGAACTCCTTTACTCTCTCATGTAATTCTAGGTAGCCCTTCTGGCAGTCACAATAGTGAACGTTGAGTCGGAAGTCAAAAATGTGATCGTTCTGACCGCCTTGAACTGTCCAGCCTAGACGCGTTTTCGAAGCGATTGGCTGCATCCACGCTCCCTCTTTTACTTTTAAAGGAACAGCTAATTTCCAGTTGTCAGCGCCAATGAGTAACGATGGTTTCACTTTATTATAAAATTCGATTGGCAAACCGTTCAAGTGCGGATATTTTTTAGCTATTGTTTCAGCATCGATTGACTGCTCAGGTAAGTCGAGGGCGTTGACAGTATGCACACCATTCAATTTATATGTACGCCTATTGGTAGCATTCGAGATCTTGATTGTTGCTCGCACTGATTCATTTTCGGAGCGTGTCGTGTTACCAGTCCACCGTAGACATATAGGATCATGTGTACCTTTAAGGCCAAGTTCATCAAATAAATTCTTATCGATTAATGTTACTGCTGAACCTTCATCTAAAAAGGCGAAAACTTTTACCATTTTCCCGTTTGCATGTATAAAAATTGGGACGATCCTAAAATATGGTTGTTTCCCGACAGCGCTGTGGCTATGGGTGTTTACTTGGGCGTCCGATTGCGGGAGCATATCAGACTTCGTAGCTTGTCGGTTCGAGATTAACGAGACGTTTGTCTTATGAAGTAACTTGTGGTGCTTTATAGTACAGCCGTCTATACCGCACACCTTTTCCACAAAACACCTGCGCTTATGTGTACCCAGGCACTGTCGGCAAAGACTGTTTGATTTTACAGTGTCCCACCGACGATTTAATGGGAGATTTTTAAAAACGATACATTGCGATACATTATGATCGGAACCTTTGCAACAGCAACACAATTTGTTCTTGAAAAGGGTTCTATCAACCTGGTGTACTTCGTCCTGCGACGCAACGGTGTGAGTGTTCATTACTGAACTACCTCTGGTTGGCGTAAAAGATACGACCATGCTAGCAGCTTCAGCAAGTTTGTAAAGCCAGTCGCTGAATAATTTAACAGCAGGGATTGCATTGTCTTTAGGAGTCATCGCCCAGTTGAGTTTTTGATTATTCGGAAGTTTGTCGACTAATTCTTTGACGAGAAGTGGGTTGTGTAAATGTGCATACATCTGACATCCTTCCATAGTTGTACAAATATTCTTCACGCATAAGGCGAAATCTATCAGTGATTCTAATTTATCTTTAATAGGAGGCATTGCGCGAGCCCTATTCATTGCACGTTCAAGAATCTGCTCAGGTCTACCGAAACACATCTTTAGCGTTTGGATTATGTCGGCAACCATAGATGGCAAAAATAATTTATTTTTCACTATGTCACGAGCCTTACCTTTGAGACAAGCTTGCAAACGAATGAGGTTCTCCGCGTCTGAGTATCCAGCTACTGCAGTGCTATTTTCAAATGTGCTGATAAATAGCGGCCACTCCTCAGGATCGCCGCTGAACATAGGCAGTTGTTTTGGTATAGATTGCCTTGCTGCTAGTTGCGTAGCTGTTGGCCCATTGTTGAGTAAACTAAAGGTGTTCGACGAGATAGATTCCGAAGATTGCGATAAAATTTTATATTTATTTTCCAGGTACTGTTGCTGGATCTTGAACTCCTCCTCTAGTCGCTCAAGCTGCAGATTTCGTTGACTTACTGGTGAACTATGATTTTGGCCAGATGCATTTAGCATTGACTCATCGCCTCCCAGCGCATATACATTGTAATGCGTATTTATTACGCTTGGCGTCTTCGGATTCTCGGAGATTGGTAATGATACGAAATTCATTGGATTGGTGAACGCTGCTGTACCGGGAAAAGTTTGCGAAACCGTTGAAGTACTCTGTACGACCGGAATTGGTCTTCGTACACATTGAGTAGTCTGCCCAGGTGTCATTGCATGCGCTTCGGTAAATATCTGGTTACCATGTAGATTAGCAGTTGCGATCACTGATGCAGTCGGTTCGGTCACTGAAAAATGTACGCGACGATCTACTGTTGTTCCTCCAATATTGGTCGTAGGCGATGATGAAGAGATGGGTCTTGTAAGTCTTGCCGATGCACTGTGTTCACAAGCGTCACAGCTCCAACTTACTTCAGCTATGCAGCTATCGACTCCGACACAGGTAAAATGGAACCATCCATCACACGTGTCACATTGGACCATATTATCGTCGTCCACGGCATTACACTTTTTGCAATTATTCGTCATAGTAAAATATTTGACTTCACGTTGCAAAAGTATTTCGAGTACAAAATTTTAAAAGAATTGTTGTTTGCGATTGCAGTTTTTAATAAAACACAATTTTTCTAGT